CACAGTAAGAAGAATTACATAGACACAATTCTTGCTTTTTTAGAAATGTACATAATACAATTAAAAATGGAAATCAATGGTATAGTATACTTACACTGTACTTAAATAACTAATAATAATAAACTAAATGGAACTTCATTTTCTATGATACCTTGCTTCTCTTTATTTTTTTCTTCTATGTCACCAACTTCATATTTAAATATGTAGCCCTACTTAGTGGAAAATAAATGGTTTTTGAGATATTAAAATATATTACTCTCCTTCTAAGGAAATATACAACCAAGAAAACCTTTTGTAGGCTGGGAACCTGTGGCTCACACTTGTAATCCTAGCTACTCAGGAGGCAGAGATTAGGAGGATTTCGGTTCAAAGCCAACCGGGCAAAAAGTTTGCAAGACCCTATCTCAAAAATACCTAACACAAAAAGGGATGGTGGAGTGGCTCAAGGTGTAGGCCCTGAGTTCAAACCCAGTACTGAAAAATATTAAGAAAGAAGGAAGGAAGGAAGGAAGAAAGGAAAGCAGGGAGAGAGGGACAGAAGGAAGGAGAGAGGGAGGGAAGAAGGAAAGAAAGAAAAAGAAAGTTCTGTTTTGAAGTGAACTTAACTATAAACCAAAGACTTTTCCAACACCCACCTCACCTCTAATCCCAGCTGGAATGTAGCCACAGGGCAAGCCATAGCAGCTCAGAGTCCTTCATTTACTAGGACCTAATCACACAGGCCAGACAGAGGTCACATCCTCCCCTGTGCACTGTGTTGGCCTCCAAATAGTAAAACCTACCACTTATGGAGCTCTGATATTTCAGGATCTAAGTATTTTACTTGAATACCTTCTTATTTGACCCTCACAATAACCAATTGAAACAGAAGCTCTCTGATCTTCATTTCATTAAATAATACCATTATAGAATGGTCCAACTCAAGAATTTCTGAGTTGTGTATAAATTAATGTCATTTGCTCATTCCTCTCTCCTTCCTTTTTCTAGCCAAGAGTATGAGTGCAAAGAAACAGTGATCAATATATTTACCTTCCAAATGGAGGACAATCACCCTAAACCAGAGGCCCCTTAAAGTACTGAATAAGGGAAAGTATAGTAATCTCCTTGCCTTACCCATGGTTTTTCTTCCCCCATTTGTTACTTATACTTTGAAAATGAGTTATTCTGGAAGACCATATTCAGATACTTTTTATCATAGATACATTTTAATCTCTATGACAAATTTCTAAATTATCATGTATGGGGGGAAAGCATAGCATATATAGCACTTGGTACTATAGGTTTCAGGCATCCAATGGAGGGTCTTGGAACATATAAGCAGGCAGAACTACTTTAATTTGAAATTGAAGCCAAAACAAACAAGGCTTCCTTTTACCTCCTGCCAAATCTACACCTTAGGACCAACCATAGAGTGCATGGGATCTGCAGGCAGACTCTTCACATATGTTGCCAGCCAGAACTTGGTACAATGGATTGAAGTCAGCCTCACAGGGCCAGTCAGCAGAAGAGAAAACTGGAAAGCACAGGAGTGGCTTTTAGAAGGCAGACACTATGCCAGGTCTGTTTACTCCACTGTCTCTTACAATCTGCAATTGCTTTCAAATATATTTTCCTACTAGAACCACTTTTACAGGTTTAAAAATTGCAGGAAGTAACTACACCCCAAACCAACCAGACATGAGTAACTTTTAAAAATTGTCCAGGAAATTGGTGCAATCTAGGCAGAGAATACCCTCTTCATAGGCTTGGTAACCCCATTCCTTCATATTGCAACCAGTCATAGCTAGAATTTTTGAGTGACTGCTTTATGCTGAGGAATTTCTATAATCATCATCATAACCCTCAGGCAGTTATGTTAATCATAGAATTTCGTAAGTGGAAATAGGGGGACTTGAAAAAGGCTGAGAAAGGCCTAGGATTATGAATTTAACATTGTTTCCTGAGCTGGATACTTAGCCACCATTCACCCCATCCTGACCCCAGCAAAGGCTCCCAGCAGATAATGCATTCCTTTTTTTATAGGGAGGAGCAAATAGGGGTTGGAGAAATTTGAAGAGTTCATCCTAATATTCCCTACTCCCTCCCCCACTATTTTCTTCTTAAAGAGGGCATAAATTCCTTCCATGGAAGTTGAGGAAGAAGAAAAGTTTCCAAAAACTTTTAAAGAGACTTGGAAAATGTGTGGTAGGGAGTTAAAAATCAATAGTCAGAGATGATTAGACATGTCAAGCAATTGAAGTCAGCATAATTTTTTAGAATCAGCTTTTAGTTTCAAATAGGCATCTTTAGTATTTTGAGATTAGGAATAAGAAAACTGAACAGCAGAGTCTATGAAAATAAGGCTGAGTACTGTGAAGGCAGGAACTGTGAGTGGTTATGGAAGCAAGACATTCCCAGATGTTTATAAACATATGATGACAAGACAAGCAAACCAAAGAAAACTGAGAATAGAATTCTGGTAGCCTGGGAGCAGGTAAGAAGTTGCAGGACAGATGAGGTAAAGTTCACATCCAACTAACTCCAACACTGAGTCAGTAAACAGGAGGTGATGAATTACTCAGTAACTCAGGTATTTTGAAAATATGAAGATGAAACAAAGAATATTCTCTCTTATTTAATATTTACAAAACCTCTGCAAAGATACATAGAAAGTAATATAAATTGGATCTTGGTTTATGCAAGTTTGTTGAAAGGGTGTAAATGATTGTATATTAAATAATTATTAATTTTGCTAACAGAAACTTAGTACTGTATTCAACGACAGTAACTTGTTCTACAGGGCAAATAATCATTCTCAGTTACTCTTTCTGTAATGTAAGATTTTCACATGATAAATCTGTAGGCCATTGGCACTGATCTTTAATTTGACAAGAGGGGAAAAACGCATCTCATTAAAAGTGTCAGAAAAATACTGATAATAATAGAAAAAGAATTCCTATACTTAGATGTGTTTCCTCATGTTATTCCTCTTTTCAAGGTATGAGTCATTACTCCATTATGAACAGAGGATGAAAGACTTCACCCATCTGTGCTTGGACAGAATGGAAACCAGCCTGTGCAGTAACAGTTTGTATCTTCAGAGCTGCACCTCTTATCTAGGAAATTTAAGTGTTCCAACCGGAAAAAGTGTACTGATTCAACAGGTTTCATTTTAAGTGAAAGTCTACATGAAGATCAAACAATGAAATGTCTTCATACTATGTATCTTACAGTTAATAGGACATGACTGGATCTGCAAGCTTTAACACCACTAGTCTACAGTTTGATGGTTTCTGGAATGAAAAAACAGACTCTAAATTAGTTTGTTTTATGGTCTTCTCAGTCTTCTTAATCATGTGACTAAACAAGTTCACCTGCAAGTGATTTATTAATGCCATCCTTCCCAACACACACACACACCCTTATAGCACTGATGAAACTATAACACATGAAATTGAGACTCTAAACTATTATGATATAGTAGGCACACAGACAGTGTTATCTAAACAAATTCAAGATTCTGCCTTTTTTTTTTTTTTAACTACACCAACTTTTGGTGTTTCATGGCTATTCTTAGATTATGGAATGTCTCTTACTAAAAAGCATATAGAAGATATTTATTCACACAATTTAGTTCATTATTGGAGACATAAAATTAAAGTTTTAAAACACATTTCTTAAGTTGCCATAAAACTTCAAAAATTAATTTTACTTTGAGGGTTGCTTTCAAAGATTAAGTGAAAAGAAATTAATAATAATGACCTTGCCACTGATGTTATGTATTAGATTGATCACAATGGTTGGCTATCACCAATTTCATATGGTTCAATCTAATTAGAAAAACTGTATTTTCAGGGCTAGGTGCAGTGGTTTCTTGGGAGGTAAAGATCGGGGGGAACAGTTGGAGGCCAGCCTAGGCAAAAAGTTAAGGGACTTCATCTCAACAAACAAGCTGGCTATGCGGTACACCATCTGTAGGAGACATTGGTAGAATGATTGTGTTCTGAGGTTGAACTGGGCAAGAAGCATGACACCCTATCTGAAAAATAACAAAAACAGAAAAGGGCTAGAGACTTGGTTCAAGTAGTAGGGTACCTGCCTAGCAAGTGAAAGGCTCAGGAGTTCAACCTCCCAATACCACAAAAAAACAAATAAATACAATTTCACATTACACGAAACACAGCCCTCTACATTACTGAGAAAGTCTCTGTAGGAGAAAATGCCTCAGCTACTCTCAATGTGCTAAAAATATCAATTATATCACATATTCAACAGCAAGGATTATGGTGCTGCCTTTCTAAATTTAAAGATAGTACTGATAAGGCTATAACTCAAAAGTCTAATTCTGACTTTATTTCCACAACGCACATGAAAGACTGATTTAGATCAGTGGCACAAATAATTCTGGGGATATAGACAGGGATACTGCTTAAAATAATGTCTTAATTCAAAAATACTCATGCTACCATTAATTTTTAAATCCCATTCTAAAATGTTTTGTTTTTTTCTCCTGTCCACCTTCCACAGAAGGTACAGGCAATGAAACTCCAAGAGTTAAGAACAGGTAGAAACCCGAGTAATCTTTTAAGCCACTTTGCAGGCAACTGGCTTTGCTGCAAGACAGAAGTTGACTTATCTTTAAAGCAGAACACAAGCATCCAGCCATTAAAAACTTTACAGGGAACTAGCCACATTAAGTGTAATATATAGAGCTCACAAAACTAGTTTGAAAACATGTTTTAAAATTCGAAATATAAAAGATACTCTTGTTTTCTAATGGAGGAGTAAGTTCCTACATTTTCTGTAAAACAAAATACACCCAAACACAAGGGCATAAACACAGCCGAAAGAGCAGTACTGATTCTCTGAGAAACATTACTGCTCTCCATTCTGATTCCCATTCTTTATCTTGATGTGTTGAGATTTAAATCAATTCAGACACTATACACAATTCTCTTCTCATTTTTATTTTTTTAAAAAAAGACAGATTTAGGATAGGTAAGAAATTACTGTTACATTTTTTTAAATCTGTCAAATGCTACAATGGAATAAATAAATAATATTTTTAAAGTTCAATGTTTATAGACATATTTGTAAAAAAATGACTTAATTAGAAGACATTAAATGATGTTGATACACACCAGGAAGGGGATTAGGCAAGGAAAGGCACATTTCACCACAAGAAATAAAGACCATAGTTAGAGGCTAAAGGGAGAGCCTTAGTTTTAGATCTTGTGGTAGTTACTCCCAGCTCTGGAGGGTCATTATGGTAGAACCTTCGTTACGGTACTTAGCTGGAATCAATAGAAAGCAGTTGGGGAATTTACTCTGTGATCCTAATGCAATGTTTAAAAAGAAGCATTCTTTTAACAAGCCTGGTGTGTGCAAGGGGAAGAGAAAAATTCAAAATGTTTTGGTGGTATTTAAAATCCTATAAGGAGTTTAAAAAGAAAACAAATAATATAATAACCAAATTAACCCTGTCTGGCTGAACTGGAATTTCTGCAATTACAAAGTAAAAATTTCAAGTAAACACTGTATTTTTCACTTCTTTTCTCTTAGAGACATTGTGGATATAAACAGCTGTGAATGTTTCACCTCAGATGAAGCCCTATGTCAAATTTAAAGAAAAGGATCTTAAAAAATGGCCTAATTTTATGGAATTTCAGTCTTTGAAAACAGGACAAATACTGCTAGCTGACTTGCTATCTACAACAGCAAAGTGAACATGAAGTTCTGACAATGATAAAAGGTTTCCCAAATAAATTAATGTTTCTAGTTCAACACATAGTCACTCCAATTCCTGAAAGTTTACCAGACATTAGCAGAACTTGTTCTGGGTCAATTTCCCACTGTCAATTTTCTTTCACAAATTTGTGTCAAGTTTCTATACATTTCGTACTATTTAGGCTTTGAAACTAGATTACTTTGAAAAATGGAATCAGTCCAAATAAACCAAATAAATTTTAGTGATATTATGTATTTAGTGATGTATATGTGTATAAATAAAATGTATTTTCAGGATAAAATAGTATACCCACAAAAAATAAAAATTTAATTAAAAACGAGAGGGAGGCAAGAGAAAATAGCAATATTAAAAATATATTAAAAATGGCAATTGCAAAGCAGGCAGCTCCCATTCATGCCACACGATATGCCTTCATCAAAGTGTACTCTTTCCGGTTGGTATGAGCAGCCCAGATGAATAGAGCGGAAGCCATGAACTGTAAGGGAGCTGAGACACAAGCCAGGCAGAAGGACCATCCGAATTCACCAGACACATTCTCAGGCAGCTCTAGTTTCTGATGTAGTAGTTCAATTCCAGCAACATAGCAACTTACTGAGCCCAGTGTACACAGACCTTCGGGAGAATTTAGAGAAATTTAGAAAACAAATCAAAACACAGTAAAGAGCTTTTCAGTAACATGACAGTGCAGTGATATGTGACTGTTTATAAATTATGACTCTGACCCTGAGGGAGACAGGAAGAAGCTAAAAGTTAAGTTGACAAGACCCACCTGCAAGAAGATGGAGAATACCAGTAGCAATGGTGGGATACAGGCTTCGGCAGATACAAGCGCAAAGTCCGATCAATGCCCCAAAGCACATCAGACCAAGACTAACAAAAGGTAAAAGGAACTGGCAACGCCAAAGATCTGTTTTTAAAAAGAAAAAGAACAAAAATGTTACCATGATTTCAGACCATTCTACTACAATGGAAATTTTCTTTTACATCTAATTAGATCTTTTCTCAAAACGTGAGAAAGAACTATTTTAATACTGAGGCCTTTTATAAAGTGAATTGTTCAAAATGATACTTTGTCCTAAAAGAAAAGGAAAGGCCACTAATAGGTAAGAGTTACTAAAGGCATAATATGTGCCATGTAAAGCTTGCTCTACAAATGCTTTGCAAATTAATCCTCCCAACAACTATTACTGTCAGGAACTATTACTATTTTTACTTTATAATTGAAGAAACTGAGACAAGAAACATAAATAACTTGTACAAAATACAAGTGGGGGAGCCAGGGTTTGAAGCAAAAAAAATTTTTTAAATACTCTCTTCTACCTATAAACACTATCAAGCACTTCAAGCACTATCAAGGATCTCAAGGCATTAATAAAATAAAATAAATGAATGGTGATTATAATGACCTGTCTTACAGGGCTGTTGAAAGAAAACACATCAATCACAACACAATGGATCTGGAATATTTCAGCTGCTCACTGGCAGTTCTAATGATCATAAATTGCTTATCAACATGAGAAGACAGTCTCACAAAGCATTTCCTTTCATTTTCAGATAATTTAAATAGCAAACAATTAGCATCAATCTTAAGCAAACTGTACATTTTGGTGTGGGTCTTACTTTCTAGAACTTCATAGACGTCCTTTTCCTAAATAAATTCCCTTCAAACTCTTTAGTAATAAACTTCTTCCTACACATTCTCATTACAAAATCGAATACCTGCAACTCATTAACATTTACTCTCCTAATACGGTCATTCTACTGGAGAAGCTCAAATAAATCTCTACAGCCCTAAAAACTGAGGCTCAAATCTGAAGATGTTATTTCAAGAAACAGAATGTTCATGACCCTTTTTTTTTCCTTGAACATCTACATCTATGCTTTTGTTACTAACTACCACCTAAGACTGGATGAGAACTGGTCAGCAGGCTTGATATTCAGTGACATTCACAGCTTGCAGTCAATTTTTTTCAGGTATGCCTATATGAACGTAGGCAGTGGGAAATGTTTATCTCAAATACAGGAGGTTATTATTGATCCTTACTAAACTCCCTCTTAATTAAATGGGCCTATTAACATCATTTGGGGGTCTGAATTCCATCCTCCAATGTAGTAGCTGTCTTCCTCAACTTCAAATCATTTGACATTTGGTAAGTACATTTCTCCCTTCTAAAATATATCACCAACAGAACAGGGTTTATTGGAATGTTATTAAAAAAAAACTTACTTCATGTTGGCACTATTTACTAACACACCATGTTCCCAAAATAAAGTTCAAGCAAACACAAATTATTTCCTTTCCTCCCCATTTGTCCTGCTGAAATCAAAGTACTCACAGGTCCGAAGTGGATCGATTCCACTATTGAGGTTTCCAGGATCAACATATTTCTCCAGGAACTGCTCATTTAGTGTGAAACTCATGCATTTTGTAACAACATCAAATGACTCTGGAACAAGAACAATGGTTGCTTGTTGTTTTCATTACAAACATTTTACAATAATCTCTTTCAGTAATTACCCTATGAAGTAAAAATACAAAAAGATATGCCCAGGGAAATAAGCAATCTCTTTGACTCTGACTGGTATACAGCCTCTCCAATGCCCAATGAATACCACTGGTTCTCAGTGGCAGGCTGAAGATGATAGGCACAAGGAAGAAAAAATTTAAAAAGCACTAGTATAAAATGAATGACAGACTAAGTATGTAAGAAGACTAGGAAGAAAAGACAGGGAGAACAAAGACTGAAATAAGTAAGAATTGATCTCCCCAAAACTTATTCTACCAGTCATGGCCCCATATCAGCAAATAACTTAAGTCTACCCTTTTAGCTCCTCAGATCACAACTTTAGAATCATTCTTCCCCATAAAATATTCCAACAGGAAATTCTAGAGGTTCTTCCTTTGAAATATGTTCAGGATCCAGCTGCTGCTCAGTGCTGTCACACTGGTCTGATTTATAATCATCTCTGACCTGAACTATTGCAACGAATTCCTACCCAGTCCCTTAAGTTTCCACACCTGCCTTCTAAAGTTTTCTCACCACATCAGCTGGGTGACTAGATTGTGTCTCTTCATTGTTCAATGCCCTATTCAATGGCCTCCATTGTACTCAACAGTAAAAACCATGATGCCTAGAGTCCTTATTTGCCCCTCCCCCATCTACAGAACATGTCTCTGACACCATACCCAATGCTCTCTGGTACTTCCTCGATTCCAGCCCAGTGATTTCCTTGCTGATCCTTGAACATTTCAGGTGTCCTCCTGCCATAGGGCCTCTACAATAGCTTTTCCCCCAACCTAAACGATTCTTCTCCAAATTCTGATTACCTATATGACCAATTCTTTCATCTAATCTTTACCAAGTGGTAAAGATTAAATCTTACTCAATGGTATCTTCTCAATGAGTCATGACTATACTATTGAAAATCATAACCAATGCCTACCTATACTCCCTTTATTTTGCTGTTTTTCCATAACACGTCCTCTTTTTAACACACTATGTAATTAGTTATTGTTTTTATCATTGAACTGTTTGTTTTTTGAGTCACCCTTTATTAAAATATTAGCTCTCCAAGAGTAAAAATTATTCTCCAAACTGTATAAGGCTCTGGAATGCAAAGGAATGTAATAACTATTTGAATTAATAACTAAATAACTGTGAAGATTCCAATATCAAGTGCTCCTGAGTTCTCATAAGTAGAGCTGAACATTCTGCAACGAATTTTAACCAGCTTTATCCCCTTTCTTTGTATACTATTTCCTTTTTGCACATATGACATACTATCATCCTTTTGGTATATGATGACTCAAGCCTGTTGGGCTATAATTTGAATACAACAGCTCCCCTGTCATCAGAACTAATCATAAACTAAACTAAACAGTAAAGTTCTTTCTTATGAGAGCCCTAAGGCTTCTAATTAATACCTGGAAATTAAAACCTTTAGGTGTTAAATATTAATGCTTGCAAAATAACCCTGAGGAAAACTTAAAATTTTTTCTTTAATACAATTGTTTAACCTACAAACTCTATATCAAAATTGCTATAAAACTGTTTCAAATATATACAAATTTAAATTTAGAGTTGGTCAAACTGTTTCTTTTAAGATATGGGGGGGGACAAATGATACATAAGCCATAAAAGGACAATCAGTTTATTGTTGTTTTGATTTTGGATTCCAGTCCTTTCACCAAAGTACCAAATATTTAAGTTTTCTAGTGTATTTATCCAACTATTTCCTCATGATATATGAGATTAGTTAAAAAGTACTTTAATGAATATGTAAATAAATACGTATATTTAAAATGGTTTTCCCAAAATAAGGACTGTTACTGATCCAACCAATATTAATAAATATCATGGTAATGTACACAAGTTGGGGAGAGAAGGTGGTAGGAAAAAGAGACATGTAATATTTATTTCTTTGGGGAGGGAGAAAACCTGCTTATATATAACTGGACAATCATCTTTTGACTATTATTGAATAGGTAAAGGAGAGAAAAGCTGAAATGAAGGAATACCTGTCCTTTCTGGTGGAGTATACCAATGTGTGTTTTTGGGTATGGTGATACACCGTCTCCATAATCCCACCGTGCCATTATATCGAAAAAGTGCATCATTATAAGTCTTTTCATCTGCCTCATCACTAATGAAGTCTTCCCAGATGCTTTTATTCAAATCACTCGAGTTTTCTTGAACTGGACTTCGATATTCATACCAGAAGTCTGTGCCAATGGAGGCTGCCATATAGATGGTGGAAATGAGGCTAAGCACACAAGCAATTACAAATGCAGTAGCAAAACGGTTATCCATTCTGGCATTCAAACTGCTCTGTTTAAAAGTTGAAAAAAGAAGGGAAGTTAGACTTCAAGAACAAATAAAAAAGATTATTCTGAAATTATCTCAAAACCACCCTTTACCTCATGCCCCTCCCTGGCTTTTTTGATATGTAATTATTAAGGAATTTTTTTTAAAGACAAATGTTCTTAAGTTTAAAACAAAACTCATTCTCATAAAAGTACTTATGGAATGCTCACATACCCAAGATGCTACGGAGACAGAGGTCTTGTTCTCTAGTCTATCACCTGCATACTAAAACAGACAACACTGAAATGGACATACACATTACAGATACAAACAACAGACATGCCCGTGGTCAGCAGCATACCGTGAACACATTTTTAACTGCAGACTTTATTTTCACACAAGCTATAGAGTTTGGGCGTTCTAGGTTTGAGTAAGAAAAAGGCATATTAAAAGGAGGCAGTAGAAATCAGGTCCTCCCAGTTTCCTTTTAAGAGGGACACTAGAGAAGAGCTTTTAGAAAACCAAGAGTTGGAACATGTTAACCCAGAGGGTTATTTTAGGTGTATGGAAGAGCGAAGAGAACAGTAACATATAATAATGCTAAATATCAATCTTCCCCGATGCATTAAAGTCATGCTTCTCGTCACACTGTCAAATTCTTCTTTCCTAATTCCTGATACTTCTAAACCACCTTGCTCTCTCCCTAAACCCTAAAGGATAGCATATATCCATAGAAACTAAATGATCCCTTCTCAGCAGAATAGAAAACTGAGTCAGGAAAATGTGAACACTGCCTAGGCTGGGCGTGGACAGGTCTCTCCAGCAGTAGTAAATGGCCGCGGTTAAAATGACTAGGGGATCGCTGAGTCAAACACCGCCAGGTGCACCAAACACCTTACGAGGCGCACGAAAACAGGCTCGCAAAGTGGGGTCGAGTTTGGAAGACGGGAGGTGACTCAGGAAAGATGGGGCAATCACAATAACTAACAACTCAAGAAGTTGGGTTTGCACTTTGATGTCTTTGAATCCTCGGACACCCTGGTGCTGTCAAATGACCTTAAAAGGTCCCGGCACCGGGAGCTGCGGCTCGCGAGTCCCCAGGCGCGGCCACCTCGCGGGCGCACGACGGAACCGGCGGAAGCCGAGGCCAGCCGGAACTGTGGCGGGGCCCCGGGTACCCGACCAGGCCCCTCCCCCGACCGCTCAGCCCCATAGAGCCCCGCCACAACACGCCGCTGGAAACCCGCTCCGCCCCGGCCGCTCTCGGGAAAGGAGCCCCCGTCCAAACGGCAAACGGCCGCGCGACCCCCGCCCGGCGACGCCGGCACCGCTCACTCACCGCCCATCCTCTCGCTCCGCCAGCCTCACCCTCTAGCTCAGACCACAGCACTCCACTCTCCCCGCACCTCCTCTGACGCACTTCCCTGCAGAGCCCGCCCCCTCCATAACTCCCGCGCCTCCGTCTCCGCCTCCACCGCGGGCCGGGCCACGGCCCGAGGCCGAGGGGGCTTGTGGGAGTTGTAGGAGGGCCGGAGGTAAAACTGCCGGAGGAGGTGGTGGGCATGCCTCGCCGCGCGGTGAATTGTGGGGAGTGTAGTTCTCGCCAGGGCTGGGCGGTGCGCAAAGCCCAAGTATTCACAATCTAGACAAGAAGGCATCAAGGTCCAGAAAAGAAGGCCGCCTGTCTCTGATCATCTCCAGCCAGTGGTTGTGATCTGTGTCAACTCAGACTTTTAGGCCTGTGTCCTCCCTAGCCCACCATCCTACCTCTAAAAATAAGTACTATATAAATGAACAGAAATGGATTCTACTTCTGAAATGCTAACCTTTTACCCCCACAATTTCCCTGCCATTAGACCAGATCATCTTTCTAGTTTGATACCTTAAGATTAGATCAAGAAGGATATGACCTGGGAGACAATATCCTTCTAGAATATAATGACATTTTTGGGTTTCAGAAAATTTATATTTGTGGCTGCCTTCTCTTTATGACAAGTGATATGTGTTCTCTGTTATAGTAAAGTTTCCTTTTAAAATATAAGGCGATGTTAAAAATATTAAATACTGAGGATACCAAGTATGTCAAAAAATGTGAGTAAAAAATTTGGAATGTAATATGGAAAAGACTGAGGTTTAAGGAATATCAATTCCAGCAGACAAGATTGTACACAACGTAGGAGATTACAGATGATTGTGTGGCACAGAAGCAACATAATTCTAAGCCCTCAAGTATTACACAGCTATTGATACAGAAATATCAGGGACATATTTTTATTTTTCATTATAAAGAGTTTTCTTTGGTCTATGGTTCTGGTCCAAAGTTGAGGAACTGCATCTGAACATGGATGTTTAGATGGCCAGGTCCTGACCTGGCACAGGGCATCATATGGAGAGAAGGAGCTTCAGGGACATCTTAGCAATAACATTTGGACCCATGAATGTGGCCTGGAACCAGCAAATGACAGGTTTCTCAACAGATAACTGAGGAGACAGCCGACCCCAGGACCAAAGGAGCTCCTGAAGCCCCTCCCTACCCTTTAGTGCCTTAGAATTTAGCCACAGCATAGGTAAAAGGGTGGGAGCACTAACTTGAGGTCAAATTTCTATAACCCTGACAGATTGAAGGCAAGATAGCTGTTTTTTCTCTCCATAGTTACATTTCTCTCACCTGAGTTGGTGAACTGATACTCATATCCAGTACATAAATAAGATGATAGCCAAATATATTATAACATTCAAATATAACTGTATTCAATTAAAAAATGAATTTTGTCACTGGCATCAGCTAGAAAAAAAGTACTGGAAGAACACAGGCAAATGGTTAATGTACAAAAACTGGTGAATGCATTTATGAGCTAGATAATGTCTCCAGCCATTGGCCTCATTACAAATCCCCTACCTTTGATAGTCAGGGAAACTGAAGCCCAGAGAGAATAACTAACTTGGAAAACTTGAACATTGGGGTAAGTAAACTGATTTTGTGACTTTGGACAATTTACTTAGCCATCTTTAGGTATTGGTTGTCTTTTTTCCAAAATATGGACTTTTGACAATAGCATCTATCTCATGTGATCATTGTGAGAATTAAATGAGAAAATGCATTTTTAAATACCCAGCACAGGACCTGGTCTTAATAAAGAATCATTAAGTTACTATTTTTTGCAAATATTTTTGAGTGCCTATAATGTTTGAGTAAGGTTAGTATATGCAGTTTTTTTAAATTCCTGGATTCCCCCTGCAGGCTGGAAATAAGGCATTTGTAGAGGTAGGTATCCTTACTCACTTCAGCTGGTTTATGAAACTCTGAACTATCAAGTGACAAGGAAGGACTTTTCAGGTTGGCATTTCTGCTGTCCTTGCTTAGCCCTCTCAGGAAATTCTACACCCTGGGCTCATAGCATAAATAAGCCATCCTGACTCAGGAGATGACTGTTTCTGGAAAGACCTTCAAAAGAAGAATTTTGCTTTTACCTACTAACTTTGTAGAATGCATAGAAAACACTCAAGGCACATTTCAATCACTAATTCAGTGTCTGTGTATTTAGATGGAAGTGTCTGTGTGTTTGAAGTTTTGACCATCCTGTCCACCTCAGCACTGAACTGACTTCTCACACCCAGTTCCACCAACCACATCTGCATCTTCAATGTTTTCTAAATTCTATTCTAACTTGTATAGGTAAGCAAAATAAATGCTTAATAAATTAATGGAGCTAAGTTTCTGCTTCTATTTCTTACTCTGCTACTCAGGAAATAATATATATATTCACAAGTATTAAAGATCATTTAGTGCATCCATGTACAAATTATAGAGCTTATATTTTAAAACAAAGTTAACTAGACTTCTGGCTTAATTTGTTAGAGATGTTTCCAGTTTCAGCAAGAAGTTCTTGTAATTAGCTTTTTAATAAAACCAGTAATGAAAAAAATCTAGATATTCAGACATTATAATTTGTTTTTATTCGGTGTCTTTGAAACAACTCTTCATACGAGAATTCTCTTCAATACCAAACTCCCTAATGGACTTAAGTATGATTCTACCTTTTAATTGCTCATTGGTAAGAACAAAATTTAAGTTAAGCAAGGTATATCTTGGGTTGATGGTGTGGCACAAGTGGTAGAGTGCCTGCCTAGCCAACACAAGGCCCTGACTTTAAATCCCAATACTGAAAACAAAGATTTATCTGCTCACATTTTTCTCAAATATTTTGTCCTATTTGTCCTTATGAACTTTAGAGTTCAGAAAGGAAAACAGAAATACATAAAAGCCCTCGGTTACAGCCAAAACTATCCTCAAAAACCTGCCTCAATCTTTGCATTTCCTTGTATTGATTTACTACAGAAAAATGGCAAAAAATCAACCAGGGATAAGGCAAACTGAAAAATTCATTTAAAATGGCTCTTTTCATTTATAGCAATTCCTGTAAAGTGCCTCATAATGTAACAAACTATAGTAGTATTGATGTCTGTGTTTCTAAAGGACAGTAAGTGACCATGTGTAGATGGGAAATTTAAATTCAAATTATACTTTATTCTAAATCATCACTGTGGGCTTTTGATGAATGACCTCTTTCTGGACCCTAGTGACCTTACCAGCAAAAGGGCTTTACTGATAAATCACCAATATCACTTGAAGCGCTAAAATTTTACAATTCTGCTGGAATAAGAATGTAATTACAAAATATGACTGTCTTAGACTCGCAGCATTAGAACTTCATTGGTGAATCTGTTTATCCCACACCTCCAGTCAAGACAGTATACAAGAGGTAGAATAGTGGGAAATACCGATAGTGTGAGGAAAAGGGAGAAAGCTATGGGCATGCTGATCAGAAAAGATGCAACACAGCTCTGGCTGTTTCAAAAATAAACAGCAGTCAGAAATTATGGAAGGAAATATTTTCTTGACTTCTTCTAATTACCATTTGTTGGTATATAGTAATCGGTATGAATTTTAAGCCCACAAACAAAATATTTTCAAATGGTAATGTTTATTACATATAGGAAACTAATGTGATTGATTAATCTGATCATTTTTAAGTAAAAACAGAGGTCTTCATTGAAGTCTTTGTTATTCTCATCACAATACATCAAATTTATTAGGAATACATGGTAGAGATATATTCACACTTACTGCTTTTTAAATTGCTTCTGAATTTACAAGATGTACTAAGTGAAAACACTGGTATAAATTAACCAAAAAATATGTTTTGCTGATTTAGAAACATCTCTCCACATCAGCATGTGATGTGATGAAGTCCTAAGATAGAATAGAAAATGGAAGCTGCTCAAGAAGTTTGTGAAAAGTCACTGGAAATGACTCAGAAAACAAGCATGACTCAGTTCAGGTCTGCCAACATTTATCAGCCATCTACTGCATTCCAGACACTGGGCTGGGCTGCCAGGCACACCAACATAAATAATTTTTGTTATGCATGACATAAATCCAGATAAAATCTACTATTATGAAAAAGACTAAAGTATATGCTTCTACAATAATAACATCAGTGCTATCTATGTAAATGAGTTAACAAGGGAGATAATCCAGTAAGTCAAGTTGGGGAAGCACCTTGATAACATCAAACACATTCCACTTAATTTGGCCTGGATATTATACCACATTATCTAACACTAATTTCTCCAAATAGCTGTGAGAATAAAACATAAGATTCTAGAATATAAACAATTTGCTTAAACTGAATTATTTAAATGATTGCACACTTTACTGATAGTCAAGTAAGAAATGGACAAGAGAGTATATCTTTGCAACACATAATCACACTATCTTATGAGATTAATGAGAAAAAATTAGTTTGCTTCATGCTCTTTGCCATTTATTCTGGGACAGAGCATGAATGAACAGAAGGTTTTATATCCAAGTATTTCTTTCTTTTGTACTATATGCATATCTGATAATATAACCACTTGTTATGGGGGTCAGAATTGTTTGAGAGAAGAAAAGCCAAAGTAATAGAATCATAAAGCCAGAGATCACAACCTAATTAGGGTAACTCTATTCTTTCAAAATCTTCATCTTGCTTGTGAAGTAGACACTCCAAGCCACAGCTACAGCATGTAATGAAAGATAACAAATTCCCTTGAGCAAACATCTCAACAAAGAAAATCGAATTCCTCCTTTTCAACATTCGATCCATTTCTGGACAGATCTCAAGAACTGAACAGAAATGTAAATCAATTCCTAAAGTGTTGTGAGATCCAGGCTAAAAGATTCTCACAAGTTTCAAATTTTGAGGTAATTTTTAAACTTACAAAAAGGCCAAAGTAATTATAAAGCATAACATGTTGGTTAATTGATCCAAATATGAATGGTGATTCTAAATTTAGTGTGTCAAGACTCTCCTTAGGGGCTTAGAGCCCTCGACTGCTTCCCCAGTGACTCTGATTCAATTGATCCAGGATATGGCTGGGAATCTACAGTTTAGTAGGTGTCTCTGGTAATGTGGTCTGCCATCCACACATTCAAAACAATGGTTTTGAGAGTCCTGAAAGGACTTTATTAGGTAACTGCTATCTGCTAGAGGCCCGTGGAGAGGAAATGGATGGACTCCGCCTTTTAGTTCTTCCTGCTTTGAGGTGCATAAGATAGCAAGGCAACTAACCATGTGAAATGAGATAAGGAATACTTTATAAGCAGTATTTTATAATTCAGATGCAATTATTTCTGTTAGAGTTTGGGTAGGAAAGTTGAATGTTTTTTCCCCCTTCTTGGAAAACAAGTTTTAGGAGATGGCATGCTTTTTGTAATTCAGTTACTAATATTAATATGCTTTTTCTTTAATTGTCAGAACCCTGTTTATATTGTTTTTTCATATGCTTATCAAGCTCAATGTTACTTTTGAGTTTTGATCTATCTATAAGTGATTATTTTATTGCTAGTTTCTATGTGTGTTTCAAAGAACATACCAACTCCTAAACATGACCTTTGCACTCAGATTTCTTAGAACTATGATTTCCCCTACTTGATAGCCAGTATTTAGTGTGTGTTTTCTTTTATAGTGGCATTATGTTCTGAGTTGTTAAAAGACCAGAAAGTATTTCCTTTTTGACTTAACCCAGTCATTTTCTTTTAAATTTGGGTCTCAAGATACTGTTGATCCATGATGAATATTCTTATATTATAGCAGTTTACTACTAAATATCATACTTCAAAGTGGCTGTATATAATAAAACAAATCACTTTATCTATAATTGCTTCAATAGTTTACTGAGAAAGTCAGATTTACTGGAAATAGTTTACATCACCAACTCAACAACTTAAGAAGCTTAAAAGAAAATTTAAGGCCTATAGAATTGAATGCACAATCAAATATTTTCTTCCAAAGTATAAGCATGAACTCTTTTCTATTTCATACTATTACATTGAATTCTTGAGACATAGCTAAGGATTCAAAAATATATCAGATGCAGAATCAACCTTATTTTCTCAAATGCCAAAATAACTTCTGATTGCAAAATTCTAATATTATAATTATGAAGAGTATATATGGGACTGGAGGTGTGGCTCAAGCAGTAGAATGCCTGCTTTACAAGAGCAAAGACTTGAGTTCAAACCTCAGTACTGCCAAAACTAACAAAAAGAATATATATGAGTGGTACTTCAACATACACACACATATAGATGAAATATTTAAATATTGTTTATTAATCATTTTCATGTAAATATTGTCCTCCTTCAAACTACTTCACAAAATGAATTATTCTAATAAATTATTAAGGCTTACCCGGTGTGAGATATTTCTGTCCCAGAAATTTCAAAGCTGTTAATTAGTTTCTCTGATCTGCAGTCTATATTTAGTGAAGGATATGCTTCCATGAAATTAATGAAAGCACAGAGCAACCAGGACAAAAGAAGAAGGCAGACCAGCCCCATAAATCAGTTCTGAGTGACTTTTGGGGGTTATTCCAGGTGAGGAGAGATCTTCCCTGATCTTGCCACTCTTGTCTGTGAGGAAGTTGTTAGACCACATCAGGAAGTAGAGTAAAGGACTACAATAGGCAGGATCACTCTTTTCAATATGCCAATTATTAAAAGTTAAAATTCTGCAAAAAGGATTTTAAATATTTAACCATTGTATTTTCATCTACAGGTATGCATTCTTCTATGCCATAGTAATATCAATCTGATACTGAAATTTTTAACATTGAAAGATGGAGAGAAGGAGAGTATAAGACAGCCTTGAGCTACTTTGGTCACTTAAAAATTGAAGTGACTAGAGTCAATTTCAAATTTTGTTATATTTTACTATGGCATTCAAATTATAGAAGTAAATATATGTGAAAAACTATGATAGAATCCTTTCTGATTTAACTTATTTCTCAAGTGTTTTTTTTTTTTTTGCACTGAAAATCTCCTTTTATAGTCCCTAGACTGAAAGCTCTATTATGATGTCACTTAATATAGGCATTTACGTATGTTGACAGGCCAGTGATTCCAAAAGTGAAGTTTGTTGATGTGTGGAGGCACTTAATGAAAAGCAATGGTTCAAAAGCTAAAAGTACCACTGCTACAAAGGTGCCTTGTAACAAAGCAAAGAACACAGGGAATCTGGAATCTAATGATGAGTCATTATTTGAGGGTTAGCAGGGAAAAAGTCTTCTAATTGAGGATGTTAACTCTAGCAAAAGGGATCTCCACTGGTTGAATTACAATATCAGGTAAAAGGATAATAATAGTAATTTGTGGTTTAGGTTTTTTTGTTATTTGTTGCCGTGCTGGGGATCAAACCCAGGATCTTCCACATGCTAAGTGAATTCTCTACTACTGAGCTATGTCTTCAGCCTTGGGCTAGCCTTGAACTTAGTATGTAGTCCAGCCAGCCTTGAACTTTTGATCCTCTTGCCTGTCTCCACAGTGGTCAAAAGCTTATGAAATTAAAACATGTTTGTAAATTTCATAAATTACAATGTTTGCAGTTATACCCAAATAAATTCATCCTTTCTGGGGCTGGTGAGGTGGCGCAAGCTGTAAGAGCACCTGCCTAGCAAATGTGAGGCCCTGAGTTCAAACACCAGTGCTGCAAAAAAAAAAAAAAATTCATCCTTGCTAATTATACTGGATCACAAAAATGAGAAGTTCTGGAATCAAATCTAATAAACTAACATTTCCACAGCACCAGCCATGTGCACAGTACTATGCTAATGGTAGTGGAAAATTTGAAATAATGATAAAAGAAACTGGGAATATCACTAAGTAATAGAGTGCTTGCTTAACCTTTGCAAGGAACTGAACTCAATCCCTAGAACCACAAAAACAAAGAAAGAAAGAAAGAAAGAAATTGGAGATTTAAAAAACTTACTGAATGAGGCAGGGTAGACTATGTATGAAATGAAAGAGCCAAATAAATGGGAAGACTCTCATGCCTTGATTGCAATCATGATAATTGCCATAGGTATAAAAGGGTATGATTTGGGAAACTTTCAAATTAACTCTTTATGCAATGAAAAACTAGTATTCTTTATCAAAAGTAATACAGAAAGGTAGATCAAAAGAATTCAGTGTCAGAAAAGCAAAGTTCTTTAAAGGTGAGAATTAAAATGTTGATTTAGTTTTTAAAAACAAATCAAATTGCTTGAATAAAGAAGTCAAAAAGCACTTTCGTTTCATGGGTGAGTGCAAATAAAGAAAACCACAACCACAACCAACACCAATCAGAGGGAGTGTTCCTTGTGGGCTCTTTCTGAAGATTTGTAGGCTGAATTTTTAATTTGTTTTCATGCTTGTCCAAGATCTTTAAGAGAGAGAGAGAGAAAAAAAAAAAAAGAGGCAAGCACTATATAAAAGAAACCCCTTGAGAGTTCTAAAATTCATACCAAAACCTCATTGGTAAGGATACTTACCTGCGTGGCATCTGATCTACAGAAATGGACCCAGAATCAACCTCAGTTTATTTGGATTATTATGATGCTACAAGACCAAACCCTGATATCAAGGAGACCCACTCCTATGTTCCTTACACATCTATCTTCCTTTCCATCTTCTACACAGCTGTGTTCCTGACTGGAGTATTGGGAAATCTCATCCTCATTGCTGCACTGCATTTCAAACGTGGCAGCCGAAGATTGATCGACATCTTTATCATCAACCTGGCTACCTCTGACTTCATTTTCCTTGTCACATTGCCTCTCTGGGTGGATAAGGAAGCATCTCTAGGATTGTGGAGGACAGGTTCTTTCCTGTGCAAAGGCAGCTCTTACATGATCTCAGTCAACATGCACTGCAGTGTCTTCTTGCTCACTTGCATGAGTATTGACCGCTACTTGGCCATCATGTGCCCAGCTGTATCCAGGAAACTCAGAAGGAGAGACTGTGCATATGGAGTCTGTGCCAGTGTCTGGTTTATGTCCTGTCTCCTTGGACTGCCTACTCTTCTGTCCAGGGAGCTGACACTGATTAATGATAAGCCATACTGTGCAGAGAAGAGGGCAACTTCAATAAAACTGACATGGGCTCTGGTAGCCTTGATTCTCACCTTTTTTGTTCCCTTACTGAGCATTGTAACCTGCTACTGCTGCATCACAAGGAAGCTGTGTGTTCATTACCAGCAGTCAGGAAAGCATAACAAAAAACTGAGGAAATCAATAAAGGTCATCTTTATTGTAGTGGCAGCCTTTGTCTTCTCCTGGTTGCCCTTTAATACCTTCAAGCTCCTATCCATTGTTTCAGGGTTGCAGCAGGAATTCCAGTTTTCCTCCACCATTCTTCATCTGGGCATGGAGGTGAGTGGGCCCTTGGCATTTGCCAACAGCTGTGTCAACCCTTTCATTTACTACATCTTTGACAGCTACATTCACCGGGCCATTGTGCGCTGCTTGTGTCCTTGCCTGAAGAACTATGACTTTGGGAGCAGCACTGAGACATCAGATAGTCACCTCACTAAGGCTCTTTCCAACTTCATTCATGCAGAGGAGGTTGCTCGACGAAGGAAGAGGTCTGTGTCACTCTAAAAGGAGCTGCAACATTTCAAGCTCTGTTGGTACTCTTAGGGAATTAGTTGGTTTTGTCATTGTTGTTGTTATTGTTTTCAGAAAAAAAAAAGAAGTATTAAGGACAAGAAAGAGTCAGTTTTCAAAAGCAGCACTGAATAGTCCCTGTATTGTGGGTATAATTAGGCCATGTGCTGTATTTTTAGATGAGAGCCCTTATTTGATCCTTGTCAATCAGGCAAAACACACTGCCCAGTTGCTATCTTCATGATTGTCAATATACTTCAGGCTTTTTCTCTCAAGAACCATGTTACCTTCTTCCACAGCACGATTCATACATTCTGCTCATTTAAGTCTGGTGAGAAATGTGGTGGCAATACCAATAACAAAAAATATAATATACTGTACAATGTAATTAATTGTGCCTGAGTTACTAAGATAAATTCTGGCCTCAATCTTTAAAGTTTTGGATTCTTCTTTTTCACCTTCCAGCATTGTCTTTCATCCTGTGCTCATTCACAACAGCTTTGGTCTGGCAAGAAAGCTCATGAAGTCAATATCTTGTACAGTATTTACAATTTTGGACTAACTTTATTGCTTGGTCTGTAAGAGTATTTTAATGGGAAAGCATAATACCAGGTTTGACCTTAGCCTCATAAGAGATATTGGTAGAGTGCTATAGTAGCTGCTTTTTAAAAGGATTTACTATTCTCTTTGTTTTTATTGCCTTTATAAACTAGGATTTGACATTGCTTCAATTGCATGCTTTTCATTACCCTGCTATCTAATTAGCAAATGAAAATGTAACTACTAATAAAATTCAAGCTTGACAAATGTTTAGGTCCACCCCCAAGCAGATTATCATTTTGTATTTTAATTAAAATGTTTGTGCTACACATTCCTTTGCTTGGTATATATAATTTCAAGATGAGATCAAAGGAGAACAAGATGCTCTGTATTCAGACAAAGTGAAAAAATCTATGATAAAAATGTTACTAGTGTATAATACATTTTTCCAAACCCAAAGGCCTTTCTGAATTCCTTTATTAATAAAATACTTACTGAGTCAACATGTCCCTATATTACTCTTAAATACTTGAAAGTGAAAAACATGTAATAAAAAAGGCTTTTTAGCAGCAAATATGCTATAGTAAATATTTGAATTCAAGAAAAAGTGGGTTGTGTTTTTAACCCCTGCTGTTGATCCAAATGAATTACCATTTTACTTCTAAATGTTAGGCTTGGAAATAAGAAAAAAAACTTAGATTGATTTTTAGAAGCTAGGTAATTTAATTTTATCCCAGGTATATTTCACATTAAGAGAAATCAACACTGGACACCTACTTATAACTTATTTAGAAGTTGAAAATAAATACAGTTTTCAGTTTTATAAGTTGGTTAATTTATTAATTCCTGTTAACCTATTGTTAAATAGAATACAATTTCCTTATACAAATATATTCATATTAAAGTATTAATTTCTAAGACTGCATTAATATTAACTAATATCAACATACTAACAGGTTTTTAGTAAGCTATTATGGCTATTGAAAAAAGAGACTGTTATTGCTTATACTCTCTCTACAACAAAATTAGAGATAAGGGCAAAATAGTTTCTGCTGGGTATTGAGGGGGGGAGCGGGAGGGGGTGGAGTGGGTGGTAAGGGAGGGGGTGGGGGCAGGGGGGAGAAATGAACCAAGCCTTGTATGCACATATGAATAATAAAAGAAAAATGAAAAAAAAAATAAATAAATAAACATGTTAACTAAAAGAAAAAAAAAAAAACCTACTGCAAAATCATTAATAAAATAAAGTCATTTTCCAACAAAAAAAAAAAAAAAAAAAAGAAAAAAGAGACTGTAAATCATAACAAATACAGCTCCTTGGAAAACTTTAAAATTGAATTCAAAATAATTGAAGAGTTGTCCAAAGGTTAAACTAGTACAGAAAATAGAGAACACACATTTTTTTAAAAACAAATCAACAGAAGCAGTGTTACTAATCATGAAGTTATTGACTTTGAGAAATACTTTTAAAAAATAGCTAATTTGGGTAATCAGTTCTTGTGTCATCCTTAATGTACAGCATTGAAGAAGTTATCCTAATTTTCATACAGAAATGTAGTTGTTAATATCTACATCTATAGAATTCTCAAAGATAGTATATGACTCAAATATAAATAAAAGGTTTTATTAAATATTGAGTAAAAATTACTATGAAGGTAAGTAGATATCTATTATTAATTGTTAAGTGTTGCTTAAAAATTCTCAAACTAGAATGGCAAACCATACTTAATAACCCCCATTTGACAAATACTGAGAACCTGTCTTATTTCAATCTCATGCCAAGATTCTTTTTGCCAAGAATATTTTTTAAAAATCAAATAAAAATATATTGTTGAACTTCTTAAAAATTTTAATAGATACAATAATTGTATGCATTAAGAAAATCTTAGTATAGTTTGTGTTTATAATATACCACTTACAAAAAGAAAAATAGACATAAGTTTACAAATAGTGTGACTGATAGAAAAAAGTTCAAAATATGAATAAGTTGGTATTTTGCTGTATCATGTATGGATTCCTCTGTTACGAAATGTAATTTGCATTATAATGGCATTAAAAGTTTATGTTAAATTATTTAATTATGTACCATTTTGCATTTTTTAATCATATTTTCTTATTTTTAATGTAAATAATTTCAATTTACATATATATGCAGATATAGATATATGTAGAAACATAGCCATATATTTACAACTATTCAAAATTTTTGTCTCATTTAAATTACTCTGAGATCAAGTTTGTGGTAATGTCAGTATGGAACAAAACAGCACATATTGCCAAGAATTTTCAGAAAATTAATCTGACATCCTAACACAATCAGGCTTTGAAGGTTGAACCCAAAGTTGGAAAAACAGAATAAAATTTAACAATCCAGAATAATTGTATAAGGAAATCACTATGCTTTAATATTATTTGTTGTAATTTTCTTAAGTGCTCCTAAGCTAGTCTAAGTCTAAAAAATAGTAATCTTCAAAGCTTTCCTCTAGCAGTTTTTCCTGAATTTACCCCACAAAAGTCCTCCATTAAACTCTGGATAAAGTGTTGTCTGATAACTTACAATTAATTTTCAAATAAAAGTAGTCAAAATGAACATAGTCACAAACACACATTTATTCCATTTGGACCATATTGAAAATTAAAACTAACCTGATATTCCTTTGAGTCCTGTAATCTGTCCACACTAACAAGTCAAAACCACTTCTGTGATGAACACAGTGATAATTGTCTTAAAGGGAAGCTATGTGCGTGACTAAGAGTAATCTATTCCTAGGGATCACCAGTTAATTTTAAATAGATCTAGACAGCACAGTACGATGGTAAGGTGAGTGGAAGAAATCTTCCTCTATGATTCATCTTAACTCTTCAAATCACTCATTTATCTCTCTAATAATCTCAGAAGTGAGAAATGACTTGTCTTTTGTGCCTGCCCCCAAAAAGAGTAATCCTCAGTTTTCCTACAAAACTCATTCACAAAAGTCAAGCAATTCTAAGAGAATTACAAATTTACTTCTGGTGTGTCTGGTGTAGCCTGGTGTAGTCTGCTAATAAGATGAAGGCTCCAGTCTCATTAGAGAGAGAGAAAAAGCAAGACAGAAATTCGAACTATCAAAGTGTTTGTTGGTTTCTTCAAGTTTCCTCTGTCTTCCACAGAGGTTGGTACAGATTGGATTTTGCCCTGCAGTAACTGTTCTTATTTAAGTTCTTTCTTGAATTCATTCTTTGTTTTTATCAATATCTGGAGAAGGCAATTATGGCTAGAATTTACATATAATTGTACAGGGCAAAGAACATTACCAGTGAGTGTCTAGATTTTATATTTTGGTTATAAAAATCCACCTTAGGATGAGTTACTTTTATCCCTGCTTGTTATCTTAATCATCTGCATGATAGAGTTATATTTCCCAAATGTCTTTGGTAAATGAAAATTGCATCCTAAGATAAGTCTACAATAGAAATAAAACAAAACAAAACAAATCCTATTTTGAATATCGAGTGTACCAAACTTTTAAGAAAGGTTCTTAGGGTACAGTAAACTAGAAACTCCTATAAAATGTCAATGTGTTAATCTAGCAGTGGGATAAAGTACTGTTAGTTCTGCAAATATTATTAAACTAAAAAATCCTTGGTTCATTCATATATTTGAGTACCAAATTTCTAAGATCTAAAGGTACTTAAAATTACGATGAAACTTGAGTTGGCTGCATGAGGTTAAGTTAAATTATAGTGGACAAGTGGACCATTTAAAGGATTTATGATACAATGTTTATATTATTTTTATGATTCTTTGTATACTGAGTAAAAGATATTACCAGTCTGGCATTATTCAGTGATCTTCTTATTTGCTAATTAAGAAGATTTAATAATTTGCTAGTTTCCTAGCTAATATGTTAACAAGAATTAGGCCTAATTATGGGAAGGGGACCGGGAAGTATTGAAGAGGTCTGGTAGAAATGGAAGCAACACTAGAAATCTCTGTTATCTTCATCTCAAACTAGCAAAAACAATATGTCTTTCTTATTATCTCTATGTTTTCTCATCAACATAACCAGAGAAGAAGAGGGCGGAACAGGTTCTGCCCAGAAAGGGGGAGGGAGTGGCACAATGTACACACATGTAATAAATGTAAAAATGATAAAATAAAAGGAGAAAAGAAAGAAAAAAAGAATTAGGCCTCATCATTGATTGGAAATTTAACATTTTATTTGTGAGTTCTTATCAATTCTGATTATACTTCCATCTCACTGCTAGTTCAAAGTAAAGTATAAAAAGTTCTTGCTAGAATATTTGTGATCTATATTCTGTAAATGCACTCTTCCATTTGCTGTTAAATATATACAAGGCAGAAAATATAAGGTATTCTTGTGATGTTTTAGATCAAATAACATTTTACGCATCAAAAATTATATACCACTAAAGACCCTATTTTTAACTTAAAAACAACGTTTAATGGCAAAGTGTTCAGCAAGCAACACTTCTTCCCTTTTAGAGTATAAACCCATTGTACTTTTGTACTTAATAATGATCAATTACAAAACCTTCACAAATCCCTACATTTGACAATTCCAGGATAACATATAATCAACTCAGAAAAATTGAGTAAAGTATAAAATTGCAGAGCTACTACCTAATGTATAGAAAATAATGCTCAACTAATATATCAATCCTATATATTTGTCCTTACTCTCTACTTAAATGACTCATTTCTCATCACAAAAAATAAATCAGTGGTTTGAATTTATGCTTTTGTGCCATAGACCTGTGGAGTTCCTTGAAGGACTTCAAAATCTCATACATTTAAAGTGTGAGGTGGGTGAGGGAGGGAGAGGCAGGGA